ATGTGTGTGTGTGTGTGTGTGTGTGTGTGTGTGTGTGAGAGAGAGAGAGAGAGAGAGAGGGAGAGAGAGAGAGAGAGTGTGTGTATGTGTGTGTGTAACAATCATAAAGAAATAGGCTATAGATTTGAAAGTGAGTAGAGGTGGGATGGGGATTTGGAGGAAGGAAAGGTGAGAACTTATATAAGTATATTTTAATTAAAATAAAAATAAACAAATTAAGCATAAGCAAATATAAACCCTCATTTATAATTATTAATTAGATAAAAGCAAATTTAGACAAACTCCTTTACTCATTTGAGTAAAATGTTAGTATTAAGTACATGTTGACCATATTAAGTGTTGATGAAATTTTGAAATGAAAATTGATGTAACTATTTTAGAAGAACTTGATATCTTTTTACAAAAGTAAACATATAACTGCCCTGTGGGTCACCCAATTGTTTTCTGAGTATTATTTATTTAAGAGAAGTTAAATCATATGTGCAGATGAAGATTTTTGTATTAATGGTTATAGTATATTTACTAGCCATAGCCCCATTCTGAAAGAATAAATGTCTCTCTGAAAAGTGAGCAGATAAATAATTGTAATACAAGAACACAATGGAAAACTACTTAACAATAAAGAAGAAGGAATTATGTAGTAATCTATATAAGAGTTTGGATGGATATCAAAACATTATGCTTAGTGAAAAATGAAAGACTAAAAAGCACATATTTTATGATTCCATTGATATAATTTCTGGGGGAAAAGGCAAACTAATCTACATTGACAGGAAAAAAAAATCATCAACTGCCTGAGTGGGAAGCATGGGAGAAATACAAATAAGCACAAAATTGCCTGCATATACATCAGTTTGGTGTCTTGAATGGAGATACTCTTATCTGTAGATGGATATATTAACAAGTTTCAAAAGTTAGCAATTTGTAAAACCTTAAATATATACAGTTCATTGCATGTAAATTCTAGTTGTGTAAAACTACATATGATCCATCTGCCTGATCAATGCAGGACTGATTTTCAAAGGAAGAGATATTCAGGTAGGGAATGAGAGTGCCTTGAGCTGTATTGGAAGCAGTCAGATTAAGAAAAATAAACAGATGTGTGAAATATATCAGCATACACTCATAAGAATATGTAAATAATCGCCATATTCCAAAGGTTGTCTTGTTCTAGTTTTACAGAGCAACATCCAGGGAAAATTCCATTCTAAAAGCCCCCTGAATTTGTTTGAGATACTTACTATGAATTCAAAGAATCTGGGAGAACACCATGAATTCTAGTCAACTGCTATAATTATTTCAAAGGGAAAAAAAGAGTGGGATGAAAGAAGAGAAAAAACATTTTTTAAGTACCAATTTCTATCATATTCTTCAGTCGTTGTCTCTTGGTCATAAAAGAAAAGTTGGTAAACCAATATTTGAGTTGGGGATCAGAGTACAAAGCTCAAATAATGGGAATGTCCATAGTATGATCACAGTAGATAACTTTCCCCATCATGATAATATAATTGGTGAGAGTTTGTTTTGCTTTAGAAGTTAATTTAAAAAAAAAATTGAGAAGACAACTCAATCTGGAAAGGTCTTGTGTAGCAAGCACGAGGGCTTGCGCTTGACCCCTAGCACAAATAGAAATAAAAAGCCAAGGAATGACACTGCACAGTTTGAACCTCAACAGCACAGAGGCAGAGACAAGTAGATCTCTGAGACTCATTGACCAATCAGCTTAGCCTATGCAAAGAGTTTTAGGCCAGTGAAAGACCTTGTAAAAAGAGACATGTTGAGTGTAGTCTAAGGAACAAAAGACATGCAGGCATCCTTCGTAGTCCTTTGGCTTTTAGCCATAAGTGTGTGTGTGTGTGTGTGTGTGTGTGTGTAAAAGGACATCTTTCAAACTTTCAGAATTCTTCCCTATTTGCAACACAATGTATCTCTTTTCACTCTCACACAGCCTTCTGAGGGGAGATATTTTAGCTTCAATTTTCTGTGAGGAAATCTGTAAAGACAACTTCGATGCTGTGGAAGCAACATAAACTTCAGACTATTTCATTCCTGGGTTCGAATGTTTGTTGCTCATTCACTTACTGGAAGGTAAGTTTTTCTCACATTACTTTTTCTGGCCTCTTTTCTACAAACGTCCCTCTTTTCTTTTGTGAACGTTCAGTTGTATGATTAGTGGCCTCTTTCACTGTCAATCTGTAAACAAAGAGTTCTCTTGGCTCTGAGACCCATGTTTATTTCATTCTATCATTTTGCCAGTTGATTCAATTCCCTGTAGTTAAAATAGTGAAAAATCTTTGGTAGATATGAAATTGTCATGACTATCCAAATAAAGTCTTCAAAATACCTGTGCATTTCAGCGCAGTACACGACTGAAAATGAGCCATTTTTCAGTTTGACAAATTTTTAACAACTTTGATTTTTGCCTTAAGGAGTGATTTATGAGAGTAAGAAAGAAAAAACAATACAGTACGGGCAACAAGGCCTCAACTGGTACAATCTCAGCAGATAATTTTTCACCTGGGACGGTGGAAGCACTCCCAGGTCATTTTGTCCTAAGAGATTACTTTACGACTATTTCGACTATTTCTCAAGAGCTGTGGGGCTGCTGAGAGTACAGCTAATGCAGCAAAAGAATGGAGAGCGGCTTTCCATTCTGTTCGTAGAAAAGGTCTGACAGTGCCCTTGCCTCACTTGTTCACAGGGGCCATGGAGTTGATCATCTACCCTTCTTTTCCCTGCTGAGGTTTGAATTAACTCATCTGGCCAAGAGGAATCTCTCAGTACAAAGGATAGCGCCTTACCCTCACCCTACAACCTTATATATGTGGAAATATCAAGTGGGATTGTGGTGTCCACCAGCCCCACGATTTGGGAAGCTGGATCAGAAGGATCATGAGTTCAAGACTTTTCTGTTGTTAATCAAACAAACAAAACTGTCTCCAAAGAGAGATAAAATCTTAACAAACAAAACTCAAAAATAAAAAAAAAGCCAATTACAATGTTTCAAAAAAAAAAAAAAAACTGCCTGTGCCTTCTGGGACAGAGACCTTGTCCAGATCCAGAGTTAGACGCTATTTTCAAAGGAAAGGGGGTTGGATCTACAGCCGGTCTATAAGAAAACCTGTGTAGGTCTACCCTCTACCTTTCTATTGCTCACTTGCCCGTACATTTGGAGTGTTCATCACCTTCACTTCCGCCTGTCTATCAACCCTCCGTAGCAATTTCTCTATGTAGGATGGTATTCAGGAGCAAACAATTTGGAAATCTCAAGGCATCTTTATACAAACAAAACTTTGGACAAATCCAAAGGTGCATTTGTGCAGGGCAAGTGTTTCTGACATTTGGGTTTGCACACTTGTCTGAATGATTTTCATTTTGTTTTGCTTTGCCTTTGCAAGTTTGGAGAAGAGAAGTGAACAGCGTCAGTTACAGGCAATTCCCAATAGGAAGAAGGGCAGTAAATGAACCAGAAATGACCTTTGGTTCCTTAGGCCCAGAGTTCCCAGAGCAAATGGCATAGTGTCAAGAATTCCTATCTACCTTACTGGGGAGTCTCAAAGGTTTCAGCAAGTGTTAGCTTGGCTGCCTTTTGTTCTGTAATTTGTTGGGACTCCCCCTTCTGCTTGTCTGGGTAGCGCCTGGAAAGAACCCCTAACTGCTACTGGTAGCTGGTACTTCTAGTGCCCCTTCCTCCTTCTCCCAACTACAAGAATCTGTTTTGGGATTGGGTTTAGGAAGGAATGAAATCCGGCCTGTGCTAGCCTTCTACAGAGTCGGTAGACTTGTCTGTTAAAAATCACTCCAAGTTAAAGCTTCTAGTCTGAAGCCCAAAACCTGACTCCCGAAAAACAAGGGTATTTGGGGAAGGAGGGTCTTTGGAGGCTACAGCGAGTCACTCCCGCCTTCACCCATACTACACAAGCACTTCGTACTTTAAAGCCACCCTGCGCTGGCTTGCGGTGAGAGGAGGGGAGAAAGGAAAGGGGAGGGGAGGGGAGAGAGAAAGGAGGTGGGAAGATAGGGAGGCCGGCCCGCGGGGGCGGGACCGACTCACAAACTGTTGCGTTCGCTTTCCACCTCTCAGCGCCCCCTCAGAGTCCCTGGGAGCCAGCCTGCTGGGAGAACCGGAGGGTCCGGAGCTAACCTGGAGGCTGAGAGGGCATCAGACGGGAAAAGACTGAGCTAGACACTCCAGTGCCATACGGAAGCTGAAGAGACACACCACACCAGCCCCAGCTCACTGACGGCCGACGCCTGTTGCAGCGCGGCGGCTTCGAAGCCGCCGCCCCACTGCTGCCCTTTCCTCTTCGGTGAAGTTTGTAAAAGCTGCGGGGGACTCAGAGGAAGTGAAGAAAGTGTCGGGTAGGACTACTGCTGCCTTTTCCTCCTCCCCTCTACCCCCTACCCCCTCCTGGGTCCCCTCTCCAGGAGCTGACTAGGCAGGCTTCCTGGCCAACCCTCTCCCCTACACCCCCAGCTCTGCCAGCCAGTTTGCACAGAGGTAACTCCCTTTGGCTGAGAGCAGGCGAGCTTGTTGCAAGGAAGGCTTTTGGGAGCACAGAGACTGAGGAGCAACAGCACTCCCGGAGAACCCCGGATTCCAGGTTCTCTCCCTGCACCTCCTCCTGCCAGCCCCTTACCCTGTGTTGGGAGCTAAAAATCAAAAGATGAAAAGGCAATCAGGGCTTCAGTAGTCGAAAGCAAAACAAAAGCTAAAAGAAGCCAAAAAGAAAAGAGGCCAAATCTTATTTGCACCTGCTTCAGTGGACACTGAATCTGCAAGGAGAGGATTTTCCTTTCCTCTCGTCAAGCTTTGAACATCTTTTAATCTGTTCTTCAAGTATTTAGGGACAGACTGTGGAACTAGCTGGGCAGATCCTGTCTAGCGCTTGCCTTGCTTTACAAGATACTTTGAGACTATCTGTGCGCTTTTTTTTTCCTCCTGCAAGTTTTCTTCCCTGGAGCTTCCCGCAGGTGGGCAGCTAGCTGCAGCTACTACATCATCAGTCAGTTGAACTCTTTAGAGCAAGAAACAAGGAGGCAGGATAAGGGAATTCAGTGGAAGATACAGGCAAGCTCAAGGATGGAGGTGCAGTTAGGACCGGGAAGGGTCTACCCACGGCCCCCATCTAAAACCTATCGAGGAGCTTTCCAGAATCTGTTCCAGAACGTGCGCGAAGCTATCCAGAACCCGGGCCCCAGGCACCCTGAAGCCGCAAGCACAGCACCTCCCGGTGCCTGTTTGCAGCAGCAGCAAGAAACTAGCCCCCAGCAGCGGAGGCGGCAACAGCTTGGCCAGGATGGCTCTCCCCAAGCCCACATCAGAGGCCCCACAGGCTACCTGGCCCTGGAGGAAGAACAGCAACCTTCACAGCAGCACTCAGCCTCCGAGGGCCACCCTGAGAGCGGCTGCCTCCCAGAGCCTGGGACTGCTACAGCTCCTGGCAAGGGGCTGCTGCAGCAGCCACCAGCTCCTCCAGATGAGGATGACTCAGCTGCCCCATCCACGTTGTCCCTGCTGGGCCCCACTTTCCCAGGCTTAAGCAGCTGCTCCGCGGGCATTAAAGACATCCTGAGCGACGCCGGCACCATGCAACTTCTTCAGCAGCAGCAGCAGCACCAGCACCAGCAACAGCAGCAGGAGGTAATATCTGAAGGCAGTGGCACCAGTGTGAGAGCAAAGGAGGCCACTGGGGTTCCCTCTTCCTCCAAGGATAGTTACCTAGGGGGCAATTCGACCATATCTGACAGTGCCAAGGAGTTGTGTAAAGCAGTGTCTGTGTCCATGGGACTGGGTGTGGAAGCATTGGAACATCTGAGTCCCGGGGAACAGCTTCGGGGAGATTGCATGTACGCGTCGCTCCTGGGAGGTCCACCCGCGGTGGTGCGTCCTGCTCCTTGTGCGCCACTGGCCGAATGCAAAGGTCTTCCCCTGGACGAGGGCCCGGGCAAAGGCACTGAAGAGACTGCTGAGTATTCCTCTTTCAAGGGAGGTTACGCCAGAGGGCTGGAAAGCGAGAGCTTGGTCTGTTCTGGCAGCGGTGAAGCAGGTAGTTCTGGGACACTTGAGATCCCGTCCACTCTGTCTCTGTATAAATCCGGAGTGGTGGATGAGGCAGCAGCATACCAGAATCGCGACTACTACAACTTTCCACTGGCTCTGACCGGGCCCCCGCACCCCCAGCCCCCGACCCATCCACACGCCCGCATCAAGCTGGAGAACCCTCTGGACTATGGCAGCGCCTGGGCTGCTGCGGCCGCGGCGCAATGCCGCTATGGAGACTTGGCTAGCCTGCACGGAGGGAGTGCAGTCGGGCCCAGCACCGGATCGCCCCCAGCCACCGCCTCTTCTTCCTGGCACACTCTCTTCACAACTGAAGAAGGTCAATTATATGGGCCAGGCGGCGGGGGTGGCAGTAGCAGCCCGAGCGAGGCAGGGCCTGTAGTTCCCTATGGCTACACTCATCCCCCTCAGGGGCTGGTGAGTCAGGAGGGTGACTTCTCTGCCTCCGAAGTGTGGTACCCCACTGGAGTGGTGAACAGAGTACCCTATCCCAGTTCCAGCTGCGTCAAAAGTGAGATGGGACCTTGGATGGAGAACTACTCTGGACCTTATGGGGACATGCGGTAAGTTTCTCCTAAAATTGCCTACTTTTGACAAAGGGCACAGAGCAGCAGTTAGCGTTTTGGGGATCTAGGCAATCCCGCCCAAGGGAACACTCCGAGGGCTTCTAAAAGAGCTCGGTTCAGTTCTATAGGAGGGACTGTCCTACATCTGGAGCCCTCCTGGGGGCTGTCCTCTTGTGAAATGTTCCACCGAAGTCCAGGAATCTTTGTTGCGCTTCTGGGTGCTAATTGGTGCCCTTCGAGATTCCCCTACACTCCCCCCACCACCACCCAAATGTCTAAATCCCTCATTCAAATCTTTCTGATATTCCAAGTACTAATGTTTCCAAACTTAAATCCAATTGCATTAGCCATTTTCAGAAATGACGCTCATAAGTCCTTCACTATTTCCCCCTTTTTTCCTCAAAGTTCTAGAAACACGATCAAAAACGTGGCCAGTTGGGTCTGTTAGTATTCACCCTCTTGTCAGTGCACGGTCTTGGCATAATAAAAGGAAAATAAAAAGCAAAAACAAAAACCAATTTCGGGCCCATATCCTTCAAAGAGAGAAATTCTCAGAGAAAGAAAAGCCGCCGCGTCTAGTTAGTTGCTAAGGGTCCCGGTGTGAAAGAGTGCAATTTCTTCCCTGGAAACAACTTAACTGGCTGCTTAGAGAATTCAACAGGGCACTTTTAGAACAGGTAGATGGGGTAGCTTTCGTGGTAAACACTGGGCAAACTTTGCTCTCATGCATTTCTCAGCATTGGTTGACTGTTGGGAGTAATTGTGTGGGCGTTTTCTCCTTGGAAAGTGTTTTATTTTCTGTGTAGATTAGGACATATCAGAAGTCTCTATCTCATGCTTGCATTCGACCTTAAAAGAAAAGAATGTACCTTAAATGAATAATTTAACCAGTTTTGATTTTGACTCACAAGTGTTGCAAGCAAAACAAAACCGTAAACCATGCCCTGCGACTTGAGTGTGCTTGGAAATTTATACTGGGGATGGAGGAGGAAGGTACCTCATTATATTTTTCTTATCAAGGTTTGTATTCTATTTGGTTTTTAAAGTTTGTCTTACAGAACTTTCAAAGATTCATTGTATATCATTAAAAGTTTTTCAGTTAAGTTAGAGTGTTTATTTTTGTGATGAGTTTCACTGTGGAATAAAATATCTTCATTTTATGAGAATAGATTTACTTGGTATGGTTAATTATTTCTAGGCTTGTCAACTAAAGAACAGAGTCCCTCTTTTACTACAAACTTTCTTTGGTGGGAATGTCTAAAGTGTTTCCTAACTTAGCATGATGCTAAGGCTAGGCACCTGAGCCATCCCGTCTTCTGGATACCCCATCCTAACTTGCTCACTTAACAAGAAGGAAAGGAGTAGTTCTCTGTGTTTGTTTAAAATGTAGCTTTGAAAATTTAGCCTGAATTTCCACCAGGTGAAGAAAAACACTTCCTAGCATTTATATAGTGAGTATTCTGATTTTATCTCAGTTCTTAATGGGAGGGATATCTTCTCTATTAGGATGAGTATTATACTTTGAAGCCTCATTGATACTCTTTAAATTGTTGAGCTCAACTACTGAGAATTTACTAGAGTCAATGAAGTTCTGTCTAAGTGAGTCGAGTCGACAAACTCCATTTGTAAGATCTAGAAAAGTCATTTGAATCATTTTGTTGAAAATTAATCAGCTGATCTAATCAGCATGCATACAAACTCTAAAATGGAAATACTTTATTACTTTCTGTTGTTGCCCCCTGACTTTGCAGGCACAATTAGATGAAAGGCAAAGACTTTTTAAAGGCAAGCCCAGAGCTCATTCCCTCTAGATGGCATGCATTGTGTGCTGATTATGAGTTTCAAACCTCAAAATTCTGGAAGCGTCTCATAACTTTTTGGGCTCCTCCTTTTTTCAATTGTGTGTGATCATGAACATTATTAGTTCTACGAGAAAGATTTTTTTAACTTTTTTAACTTTTAACTGAAGCAGCAACATTTCTACCAAGCAGAAAGCAGAAGCTGAAGGTAGTCCTATTCTTTTTCTTTTTCTACTTAGTTTAGCATATGTTTTGAACAGAAGGAAAAATAAAAGTAATAGGTCATATTTACAAGCCTGATGATATTTTATGGCTCTGTTTTCTCTTGGAGATCAAACAAGACTACAACTTCGCACCACAATACTGTGGCAAACATTGATCTTTACAAATTAGATCCCTAAAGAGCCCATGCAAGAATTTGAATTGGGGTTTTGAGAAATTACTCAGAAGCAGAGTGAAAATTAACATTTTTTACTTTTTTGTTCTAGCATTCACAACAGGCATTATTTTAGTAGTGCTTTGGCACTGGTGAGTTTTGCCTGTTATTATTTTTTCTAAGTAGGGGATTTTATCATTTCTCATTTCATCTACATTCTCCTTCCTAGTTACCAAGGCATTTTTCCCAGCTGTCATATAAGGAGTGGGTTGCATGTTTTCTTAAGCAAAATTTTGCTTTAGGATCAATGATTTCTGCCTCTAAGCTTTCATAATCAATATACTTGAGAAGGAGTGTCTGTCCTCTATAGTCAGTAAACATACAGTGAGTTCTTCCTGAGTGCCACTCATCAGAACCTGATGTTAAATAGCCAAGTCAGTTGGCATCCCATTTGAAAGTAACCACAGAATGCAGCCATGGCAGGACCCTCTTGTGTAGGCTATCTCTCTCAGCTTGGTATTGTCAGTAGTAAACGTTTTCCATGCAGCTTAGAGATTTTCAACTGTAGATTTGGTTTGGGGTACTTTCCTGGCAGTGCTAATTTTACTTCAGAGTTTCATTCATTGAGCTGATACTAGGAAATAATATATTGAATTTACTGCCACATTAAATTTTCTTTGTTGTTTTTCCCTCACTGTTTTAATTTTTTCATATGATTTACATAAATCCTTTTAAAACAATTTTTTTTTCATCTCCTGATTTGTACACGTACAGTGGCCACTCTTGGTGGTATTCTTGGGTTGAACATGAACAATTTATTATTATTATTTATGGTGATATTATGATCATTGCTTTCATTTGGAGCTCTGTTTAAGCAAGGAAGAGAATGCAGATTAGATGGAACAAAGCAAGAGACTCTATAATCACATCTGAACTCAGGATACTGAAAAATAATAATAATGAAAAGCAAACAAAAAATTACCTTTTGTGATGTTTGTAAGGGCGTAAAAAGGAAATCTTTCCCCAGCCCCCAACTCTGCCATTTTTTCTTTGTCTGCAGCTTCCTCAAATGCTACCTATGCCTATTTCTCATTTTTTTTCACTCATTTCATGCCTTTGACATTGAAATATAAACTCTTTCTACCTCTCAGGATTTGTTTTCCTCATTGCACCTGTGGCATGCCCCTAAAGAATCTCTCTAATGAAAATGTGCCAGGTAGAAGATCAGATGAACCCAGTACTTCTCTTAAGAATAGATCTCAAGAAGGAACTGTAGAAAGAATAGCCTCATAGCAGGATATTTTACCTTGAGATTAGAGAAAGGATCAACAGTTGTTGGGGAACTCATGTGACAGAGCTTGCATAAATTGAAGATTTACTAAAGTATTTTGCCCCCATCCTGGATGAAATTGTGTATGTGTGTGTCTGTATCTGCATCTGTCTGTCTATAATATAATATAATATAATATAATATAATATAATATAATATATATACCATATATATATGGTACTGCCTTGTAATACTGGGATTTGGATCCAGGGCCCTATGCACTGAGCTATCTACACAGCCTATCTTAATCTGTGTCCTTTCCCCTCTGTTGGCCCTGTTGATATTCTCTAAGACACTGAGAATAATTATACTCTCCCTTTCCCAAAAACTGTCTGGATCAGTATCTATTCATCTTTTGTATATGTCTAGATCAGCACTCATCTTCAATGAGGGTGGTCAGGTAACATGCAAATGATCATTGGTAAACAAAAAAATTAGTTAGAAAATCACTATCCTTCAGTTACACTGTCAACACTTCATCAAGTTATGTGAAATTCATTATCCTTATGCTAAACACAGCATTGACTTTTAAATACTGACTTGTGAATTATTACACAATTACCCCCCTTTGCTGTCCTTTGTGGTATATAATTGTACATTTTTATGCATATCCAGTATTTTCCAGTTTATTCGCTAATACTCACATAACTTCAAGTAAGCCAGAAAGGATTAATGTTCTGTTAACTCTTTTGCTCATAGTCAGAGTATTTGAAAGTTACATTTTGTGTATCTGTTGACCGTTTGGGGAACCCTCTCTGAAGTAGAACACAAAGCTTCTGGAAGCTTCTTGCCAGACTCTAAAGTTTTAGATGTTAACTCAGTAAAGGTAGCATTTAGTGTTTTCATCACGGAGCTGAGAGGGCACAGATTATGGTTTGCAAACTCATGAATGATGTAGCTCTTCTCTCTCACACTGACTGCTGCAAGTCTTCCAGACACATCTGAGTTGAGAATGCCTCACTCAGATAAATTTATAACATTAAAGTGCTGTTAGTCAATAGATAATGTTGCCAACTTAGATTATGTAGTAGTACCAGAGTTCTATTTTGTCAACAACAGCTTAATTGAGACATGATTCACAATCCCTATAATTCACCTATGTAAAGTGCTTATTTCAGTGCTTTATAATAGTACTTCCTGCGTTATGGGTCCATTATCACAATCTGTTTTAAAACATTTTATTCACCTCCCTCAAAAACCTATGTGCTTGGTAGCAGTCACCCTTCTACCCTCCCCCAACTCTAATCTGCTCTTAGTCTCTATGGAGTTACTCATTCTGCCACTTCATATAAATAGAACCATGCAATACTAGTTCTTTTGTGACTAGGTTCTTTCCCCTGGAAATGGAATTATGGATGGTTGTGAGCCACCATGTGGGTAGCAGAAACCAAACAAGGGTCCTCTGCAAGAGTAACGAATGCTTCTAAACAAGGAGCTGTCTCTCCATCTCCCATGTACAATTTTTTTTTTTGTGAAAATATGGTTTCAGATATTTTGGGTAAATAATTAGTAATGGAAATACTATGATTTTAATCATATAAGAATATGCCAAGGTGTTTCAAAAGTGTCCACATTACTTTAGAACCCAAACAGAATTATATGAACACGATATTTTCGGTATATCTTGCTAACACTTATTATCAATTTTTATTTTATTTTATTGTGTATATGTGTCTGTGTGTGCATATATGCTCATGTGTGGTTATGCATCGAGGCCAGAAGAGGGCATCAAATCACATGGAAGAAGGTTATGAGCCACCTGATGTAGGTGCAGGATCAGAGATCACCTAGAAGCATAGCAAGTGCTCTTTAGAATTCAGCTGTCTCTCCAGGCCCATCATATTATTATTATTATTATTGGTGTTACTATTGTTTTCGAGTGAGTGTAACACAGCATCTCACTGTCATTTTAGTGTGTACTTTTCTAAGGACAATATTCAACATATTTTATGTATTTTGTCTGTTTTTATCTTTTTTATCAAAATGTCTATGCATATCTGTTGCTCATGTTTAGTTGGGTTGTCTTTTCGACATTGCATTATGAGTCCTTTAAAACATGTTTCGAGAAAAGTCCTTTCATGGGTTATGGTTTGTGGATATTTGTAACTTTCTTGACAGAACCCACTGAAGGAACAAATTTTAAAATTTGATAAAATTCAGTTTATCCACTTTTTTCATTTTGAATTTTTCTTTGAGTGTTTCATATTAAGAAGCTTTCCTTAATCTAAAACAGAAAGATATATCCCTATGTTTTCTTCTATGAGTTTTCCAGTTTTAGCTACTTATATTTAGACCCTAGATCATCATTGATTTAATTCTTATATATGTTGTGAAGTAGAAATCCAGTCCCATTTTTGTGCATGTAGGTATCCAGTTTTCTTGGAATTTATACGTCAGTCCTTTCCCATTTAGCTGTCTCAGAATTCTTTGTACAAATACGTTAACCAGGAATGTTATGTATTTCTTGACATTCAACTGTATTCACTGGTCTATATATCTTACTCATTTAATTTCTACATTATTTAGATTACTGTACATTTTTACTAAGTTTTGAAACTAGGTATGAGTCTTCCAACTCTGTTTTCAATATTGTCTTAGGTTCTTGAGATCCCTTGAACCTTGAATATTATTTGGTATAAACTTGTCAGTTCCTACACAGATCCACCTAGAATCTTGATAGAGACTGTGTCCAATATGCAAATAAATTTGGGGATTATTGCTCCCAAGTCTTATGATGAATAAATTTGCATTCTGTTTATACCCTCATTCAAAAACTTTTTTTTATTTTTCAGAATACAAAATTTGCATTTCTTTGGTCAAATTTCTATCTCAATATTTTATTCAGTACGAATATAATTTATTTTGGTTTTCTTTTCAAATTGTTCATTGCCAATTCTAAGAAATATAGGGAATTTTGAAATGTAGAGTTATACCTTGCAACTTTCCTTCATGTACCAGAAATGTGAATGCCTTATATGTTTAAATAGCAAGGGTTTGTTTTAGAGCCCTGATAAAATATTTCATCTGGTTTGGGTGAAGAAGCATCAGTTTTATCCAGCTTAGCTGTCAGTTAGAGCTAGTAATGTCACCCATTTCAAGTCTAGAAAGAGTGTAAGTATCAGCTAACAGATTTTGAAGTTAATTATTAGGAAGTGAGTGAGGAATAATTTTGACTGCTAAATACAAAAAAAATGTGTAAAAGTAACAGAGTCAAACTAGGCTGGAAAAGTCACCAGTTATACTTATTTTTTTCAATTTATAAAGATAGCCAAAATCATAATATTATGGTTTTATATAATGTCCACTAGAGAAAGTAAATGTTTTCACTTTTTATGATACATATGTATTTCTAGATGGGGAAGTGATATATTTCTACTCATTTAAAGTAGCCTCCCTTTTAGTGATGTACATCTCATCCAGGAAGCAATGACCTAGATGAGTAGTGAACTTTGACCTCATTAACATGCTAGCATCAGGTCATACATAATCAACTACTGTACCCTACTAATGGTCACTGAACTGCTAGTAACTGGGAAAAATGGATGGTCCTGTTTGATCAAATAGCTGGTTTTAAAAGATTGTCACCAATAAAGTTACTTTTTAAAAAGGAATTTATCAGATTTGGAATTTAGCTCAGTGATAAACTTCTTGGCTAGTAAGTGGGAGGTCCTAAAGTCTTTTCTCAGGACAAAAACAAGCCTCTGTCAATCATCCACTTTTCATCAAGCACCAGCATATGTAAGAAAGATGTACAGTTTTTGTTTTAAAGGAGACCCAACTGAGAGTTCTGTGGTCACAGCTTTCAAAGAACTTCAAAACAAAAGTAGCATAATGATACTGATATATAGAAATGGGGTATACATGAAATTTTAAATATCATTATTTAAAGAATTCCTGAGTCAGGGTAGGCGAATGGGTCAGCCAGTGGCTTCCTCTAATCCCTATGAAAACAAATGGAGACATGACTGAACTCAAGCAATTAGTTATAGGTCTTCATAGATATTTCAAACAATGAAGCCAGAGGTTGTAGTCTATTTCTATTTATTCAACATTAGCACTCCAGGCAAATTAATTACTAGTTTCTTCACAGTTTCTTGATTATGTCATTGTACTTGCTGAGAATATGTTTTTTACTGGAGATGTCTGAAGTAATATAAGTAATTAATTAAATTCAAGGTATTTAAAGAGTCTTAAGTGTGGGGTGAGAGTCCTGGAAAGACACCCAGGGTGGTGGTCAGAACAAGAGTAACTCTCCTGCTCTGAAGACTTCAGTTGACACAGAAGCTTGTTTTAAACCTCTAAATAACTGAATCTTTTCCCAGGGAAGCAAGGGATAACCACAAGTGAAACAATTCAAGGAATAAGAGAAAAAATAATAGGCCCACTATTGTACCATGAAGAATATTTTACTGGCTAGTCACTGTTGTGGTTCAAAAAGCTTTATAGCTAGGTAGGAATATTGATTGTTTTTCTGTCTTTTGTGCTTGCATGCTGCCTTTGGATACTACAAAAACTATTCTCCAGGGAGGCTTCCAGGTGAGTTCCAGCTCATTTCCTTCCAGTCCTGTGTCCAAAGTGTATGGTGTCTTCCCTAATAAGCTCTTATCTTAAGGTTCAGGGAGGCAATGAAGGGCAGTAGCAGTAGTCTGCATTGCTTTGGGAGTCTTCCATAAGGAAATACTCAAAGGGAAATTTCCCTTACTAAATCTATTGTTCTTGAGATGAACATTATCTGTCTATCCAAACCATCTATATCTCTATCTATATTAATATTTATTCATATATTTTGTTTTAACTAAGCTTATGAAATAATACATTTCACTATGTCGTTTTCAAATCTCCTCAGTGTATCTTTTCTTCCTTTATAGTACCTTTCTTCCTTGTTCTCCAGTTAAAGTAACCACACTCATTTTTTTCATTTTCCCTTTTCATTTTACATATGCCCTACTATTCTTTCTCTGCCTGTCTGTCTGTATGCATGAATCTATCTATCTATCTGTCTATCTATCTATCTATCTATCTATCTATCTATCTATCTATCTATCTCACCCTCTCAGCAGTTCTCAACCTGTGGGTCACCACTCCTTAAAGGGTTGAACAACCCTTTAACATGGGTCACCTAAGATCATCAGAAAACACATATATTTACATTACAATTCATAACAATAGCAAAATTACAGTTATGAAGTAGCAGGGAGAATATTTTTATGATCAGGGGTCACTACAGCATGAGAAACAGTATTAAAGGGTAGCAGCATTAAGAAGATTAAGAAACACTGCTCTAGAACATTTTCTCTACCCTCAGTAAATGGTCCCTATTTTACTTTCCTGACTTCTGGGGTTACTTCAGGGTTTATACTTAAATCTAAAGATTCAGAGTTAGAATTTACTTTCCAATTTCATCTAGGAAGCCAGTATTACTCTAGTTTCAAAATTCAGTAAGGGTAATCTTCAAAAGAAAACTATATGACAATATCCATGATGAACATAAACTCAAAAATACTCACTAAAATATTTCCAAACTGAATTAATGTATATAAGAAATATCCAACATGCCTTCATTATAAAAGTACTAAAGAGAATAGTTCTGGAAGGAGCATACCTCAATAACCAAAATCATCCTAATGGAGAAAAATGTAAAAAACAACATCAGAGTCAGGTGTACACCCTAAATATTTTTTTATGAATTAGGGATTTACTCTGAAAACAAAAGCGGCACAATATGATCTGGCTTACATTTTAGTAAAATTCTTTTTCATAGCATCTGTTACTTTTGGATACGTTGCACGTTTGTCTGGCAACGTATCTGTTATGATTTTTTAAAAATGTTGCAAGATCCCCAGTGGCAGTAGGCAGCAGAAATGCTGTAGGTCCCCAAATAGTGGTAGCAGGCCATGTGGCAGCAGGCAGCAGGCCCTAGGAGCAGCCAGTCCCAGGCTGCCTGTCCCCGAGTCAGTGGCTGGTCCCAGGCAAGGAGACACATGGTGGGGTGGCTGGTCCCAGCTAGCCCTGCAGTGTGAACAGGCAGGGTGGGTAGGAGGCACATGGACAGACACATTGTTAAGAATAAAATTGGATATTTATTACTTGGGGGGAAGGAGAAGAGGACAGAGAGAGAGAAAGGGGGGAGCGGAGAAATGGGGAGAGAGGCACAACCGAAGACAATCATAACAGTATCTCTGTGAAAAGGGGACTATGGAATAAAAGGGAAGCAGGGATCTGAGTCTACCACAGGTTCCAAAAGGGGGATGATGGTAGTTTAGACTAAGGTAGCCAAGGAAGTAAGAAATGGCTGGATTGGGATGTTTTCATGAGTCAGTAGTATTTATTGACAGATGGCATGTTTACTGTGAAAAAAGAAAGGAGACAATGATTAGCAAAATGGTGGCCTGAAAATGATGAAGAGTGTAGGTAGAAAAAGTGGAGGACATAGAAATCACAAGATTAATAAAATCTGTGCCTTCCAGTGAACTTTTTAGTTTCTTCTCATGCTTGTGTACAGACTTCAACTTTCCTGTTTTTCAGAGTTAAAGAATGATCTTACAGAGCACCATGGCTATCTGTTTTCTCTCCTCAACCTCCTTCAACTTTTATTTTATAGAAATCTCAAAAAGAGATAGAGGTTTTCTTTTGTATTCCAATTCAATGAATTGTTAAGGTGTGATTTTTTTTTTCAGGCCTTAATTAAGGGAAAGAGTGAGCCTTTTCTTCTTTTACAAACTTTAAAGAAGTAATTAAATAATAAGAAATTAAATAATGGTCAATACAAATAGACTGCTCTACCCAATAGAGCAAATACATTTTTGGATATTACAACAACATAGTTCTCTTCTGGAAAACATGAGTTTTAATTAAAGCTGGAACCTACAGGAAAGCTGAACAGAAATTTCCTGAAATCCTAGACGACTGGAGTACAAAGAATTTGGACAGCCTCTTTGCTAGCTGTACCACTTTATGGATGAAGTGCCTGAGGCAACATATACAAGACTGGCCAGGATTACACAGCAAACTTAGTGGCAACACCTACTCAGAATCTACTCTGCAGCTAAACTGTGTCTTATTTTCTTAGAAATGTTTACACTGGAATTCAATCTTCAGAATAAATAATTATAACAATAGCAATAACAGTAAAAGTATATATTACTTATCACTGGCAAAACCATGACGTTTGCATGGTTTAATAAATTTAATTCTTATTTCAACTTTCAGAAATAGGTGCTGGATTCTTATATAACATGTCTACATGTCACAGAAGTAGGAGTCGTAGAACCTGTGTGTCTCCCAGGACGTTTGGCTTCTAACTATAAAACATTTTTTAACCTTCTAGCACTGCCCATATGCACATGGGTATGGAAACTAAATAACATGCTTAATCTGACTGAACAGTTAAGCAAAAAAAAAAAAAAAGCCTGTGTCAGAATTCACTACATGTATGCAAATGGGTGTTATTCATATTACAGAAAGTTTTTAAATATAAAAGCATTATATCAGAACTTCAAACATTAAACAGTTTAGCTTAATATAAGCCAGTTTTTTTTAAATAAAGACTTTGATGAAGTAAGACACTTAAAGTCATATAGTAAGTAACAAAGTCAAACCTTGAACTTGAAACTCCGAGCTGACAGCACCCTTTCTACTCTATCACGCGGGCTCCCTTTCCGCAATCATTTGCCGTCTTTTATCCCCCTTCTATCTCATCCCGTTGATAGTAAAACGCTAATAAATGACTCCATCAACATGATTAGAAGGACAAGTGGTTGAATGAGCAGAACACAGCCATTTCAGAGATTGATAAAGTGAAATAAAACTTGGGAAAAGACAATACTGTGTGTAATTAATATTAAATAAGAAGGGAAATTTATTAGTATCACACAGTGTTATTTTCACCTTTCAAAGTCCAAATTGGTTGCACAGAATCCCTTAAGCCATGAATGTGGATGTCACATAGCATATTTGTTACCGTGGAAGTGGAAGCAAGCTGCTGCAAAAGTCTGCCTTGCTCAGTGTCTTCTTTGAAAGAAGGTGCAATCTTTCTGCTCATGCAAATGATAACCACTTAGCTATTTCTTCTGAAAATTGGAAGTGCCTGACTGATAGTGTCTTTCCAAACTTGTCAGATTGTGCCACAGCTTTGAAGCATGTCTAACTTCTAACACAAACTGAGAGGTGACAGAAAGATGGAAACATTTGGGGTTTACTATTTGGATGTAAAAAGGCCTCTAAAACATGTTTTATGTCTATTTATTCTGACTGTCTATCTTCCTCTTTCATCTTCACTTTAAAAAAACCAAGGTTAGCAACTTGTAGTCTGTGGGAGTTTCCAATTGTTCATATGAAATCTGTTTGATCAGCCGTTTAAATAAAAAAGAGCAAGTTAGACTGAGATATTTTTCTTAGCAATTATCTAATAATAGCACAAAAATCTTAGCCATGTTCATGTTTTTAGATGGTATGTTGTTTGCTTTAGAGGCTCGCTGAACCTCAGTGAGGTACTAGGCTGACTCAAAGTATGTCAGGTCAGATGTAGAAATGAACAGAGTGGTCTCTTCTCTGAGGGATCTCTCCCCTTCTGAGTTCAGCATTTTCCATCAGAGATGACCTCAGAGTTTCTGGGAAAAGACAAGATGGAGATTTTCAGAACTACAGTGAGAAAGGAAATGTTTTCCAAAGCACTCTCAGCCATTCCATCTAACCGAATTCCCATTCTTATCCCTTCTACTGTAGTGTGAGGCCATCTCAGGTTTCCTCTCTCCCTTGCTCTGCTGGTTTTTCATTCACACTGTATTCGTGCCACAAAACAGTACTAAAGTTCAGCTAAAACCTTTTTAGAATCTTTCTTTAAATATCCCTGAGATTTTATGTTCTTGACGACTGGACCTTATGTGACTTATCTCCCAATTCACAGTCTTTGTAACAAGGAAGCTTTATTGAACAATTATGTAATGCAGGATTAAAATTTCAGCTCCTTGGGCTGGAATAATAGAGCACTTGCCTAGCATAGGCAAGGCTATGGGTTCTAACCTTGGTGGTACACACCTAGTACACAACCCCCACATAGAATCAGCTCCTATGCACTGGTTTCTTAAGTTCAAGTCCAAATTTATGTAAATCTGATATTAAGGTCTCTTTATGATCTGGCTTATTTGTCCAGCTTGAATTCCTACAGCTCTCTTTCTTTTTTTATTCTTTTTTACAATCTAGCCAAATGGATCTAGTCACTGTCACTTGAAACTATCCCAACTCCTTTGTTCTTTGAGCTTATTATTTTTCCTATTATCCTTTTGGCCTTGAAACCTATCCCAATTTCAATACTGTCTGCACTTCTAATCTTAGCTCAAATACAGCTTCCTACAGGATGAATTTGCTCATTCTCCAACCCAAGAAAAAATGATCTCTGATGTGATAAGGTTGAAAACTGTTGACTGTAGTTTCCTCATCTATGTACCAGGACTAGAAATTTCTAGCATGTAAGATTTTGAGAAGAGACTATCAGATGACAAGATGAATGCTTGGTACAAGTCAAGATATTTTTATTC